CCCCAAGACGGCATGCAGTCTGATATGGTTCTTGATATTTTTTTAATAAATGAACACAACTAGGGGCAAAGAGTTATCCTCTACCTAGCTCTGTCATCTCCCTACCCATATTTCTATTTTTTTTTTTATTTCTATTCCTTTCTTTCTCTATGAGTAGCAATTGTTTCATACTTACTTGTATTCACAGTGCCTGGCATTTTGAAAATATTTGTTGCACTCTTGTCTGTTCTGGAGATTGTAGATGCCTAAAGGTTTGGCCATTTAAAGTAAGTCCTACAGAAGAAGGCTAGTGGTTTGATTTTATAAACTTGGACAAGAAGGCAGTAAGGGTTGGAGATGTTTCCCTTAGAATAATTCCACAAAAGCACATGTAGTGCTTTTGGATAAAACTTGTATCTTGAATAATACTGTTTTCAATTAAGAACATTTCATGCTGGCTCTTTTTTAATGTCTCTTAGACTTAAGAAAATTTTAATTTTTTCCCCTTTTAGTGCTTTTATTCCTTAGATGAGACAGGGAATGAAGAATAAAATCTATTTTTAGAATGGGTAGCTCTTAGAAAGAAGGCATCTTATCTTCCATATAGTTACATAGATAATTTTTTTTTTTACAATTTATCAAATCCTTTCATATTAGTTTTGCCTGATTCACATGAGCAACCCTATAAACAGAATGGATATTATTAACCTCATTTTACAGATTAAAAAATTAAGACTCAGAGAGTCACAGAATCTTAGTCTCAGAAAGGATCCCAGAAGCCTAAATTTAGGTCATACTATTCCTGATAAAGGCTGTACTACATACCTTGACCATCCAATCTTTACTTTAAGGGCTGTAGGGAGGAAAAACCCACTGCCTCTTAAGGCAGCCTATTTTACCTATATTTTCTTTCATAGAGCTTTTTTTCTATAACTTTCATATTTTCTTCAAACAAAAAAAAACACATACAGTGAAAATTATGCTGAACTTGGAGTCACAGTACCTGAGTTCAGATCCTAGCCTGGCCATGCACTATTGGTATGACCTTGGGCTAGTCATTTTAACTTTTCTGAGTCAGTTTCCTCAGATGTAAAAAGAGAGGGTTGGACTAGATGACTTCTAAGTACCCTTCCAGCTCTAGATCTCTAGTCTTAGTTCTTCTTCTGAGACCAAGCAAGAGAAGTCTGATCCCTAAGTCTTTAAAGCACTTCAAGACAAGTATGAATGCTCTTCCACCCCTCACCCTTTTAAGTCTTATCCAGGCTAAGCATTCCTAGTTTCTTATATGACATAATCTCAAGAAACTTCACTATCCTGGTCTATCTCCAGTTTATCAACATGTTTCTTAAGATGTGGTAGCCAAAACTGATCACGGTACTTCGGATGTGTTCTAGCCAAGGTGGAGTAAGCTGTTGTCCCTCTTAATGGAGAGAGCTAAGATCACATTAGCTTTTGTGGTTGCCATATTGCCTGATGACTCATTGACCTTCCAGTCCACTCAGTCCCTCTTTTTTTAAAGAACTGCTGTCTGTCACACCTTTCCCATCTTATAGTGGTAAAATTGTTTTTTTTTTTGAGTATCAAGTGTAAGACTTTACAGTTATCCTCACTGAATTTCATCTTTTTCCATCCAACACTCATTGCCAGCCAATCCGATCTTTTTAGATCCCAGCTCTCCCATCAGGTAGTTAGCTTTTCTTCTCTTCACTTTTGAGTTATTCCCAACGCTTTGCATCTAACTTAGGCCCTTTAGACAACTTCCCCTTTTGTGCCTCCTCTCTTCATTATTTTTTGCTTCGTCTAGAATTTTGTTCTTGAGAGCTTCCCATCCCTTTGGGCTTACTTCCCCTTGAGAATTTTAGTCATAAGAATCCTACTTCCTCTCTCTGAAGCCCCTGATGCCTCTTCTCGTGCATCATCATCATCATAACAGCTTTACAGTTTGCAATGCACTGAACAGATATTTCATTTTACCCTCTCAAGAGCCCTGGGAAGTAGATACTATTAGTACCCCCTTTTGCAGATGAAGAAACTGAGGAAAACAGAGAGTAAGTAACTTCTCCAGGGACATACAGCTAATAAGTGTCTTACGCTAGATTTGAACCCAGGTGTCTGACTGTGGGTCCAGTTTTCTATCCACTGCACTACCCAGTTGCCTCTACGCCTCTGCCTAGTTTTGCTTTAGTTTGTAAATTCTAAAATAGAATAGTCTTTTCACCCAATTTTCTTTTTTTATTATTTTTATTTATTTATTGGCTAGGCAGTGGGGTTAAGTGACCTGCCCAGGGTCACACAGCTAGTGAGTGTCAAGTGTCTGAGGACGGATTTGAACTTAGGTCTTCCTGAATCCAGGGCCAGTGCTATATCCACTGCATCATCCAGCTGCCTCTCACCCAATTTTCTTCACCATGCAGTTCCTCTTACACTCAGCTAGGTGGCATAGTGGATAGAGCTCTGGGTCTTGAATCAAGAATATGAGTTCAGATTCTTACTACCTTTTCAACCCTGAGCAAGTCACTGAACTTCTGACAGCCTCAGTTTCCTCAGCTGTAAAGTGGGAATAATAAAAGCACTTGCCTCCTAGGATTATGAGGATTAAATGAGATAATATTTACAAAGTGCTGGCACATAGTAGGCACTTAGCAAATGCTTGTTTCATCCTTCTTTCCTCCTTGTTGGTAAGAATCTGATCCATAAGAGTAGTTCCCCCTAACATTTTCTTCCATGTTTTTGAAGGTTGAAATGATGTTTATGGTAATCCAAGAATCTATTAGCTATTCTGGTTTTTGGTTTAAGGAAGCTCCAGCAGATGTTACTATACTCTTGGATCATGTCATGGTCCTAAGTTTATTACAGATTTTCCAGACTCATCTGTTTCTTCATTATTGTCAGCCTACCATTGATGATATAATCCCACATTATGACGGGTTTTTCTCCTTCCTTTGACCTTAGACCACTTTGTTTCTCCCTTTCTGGCCTGGATTTCCTTCTGCACTTTTTTCCCCATTATATAATGCTAGTCCACCAACCTGTCTCCATCCCCTCCACTTTTATCTATCCTGTATAATAAAGTATACAGTTCCATATTCAGTTACAGGTTCTGTCTACTGGATCTCAGAGATTCCTGTGAAGGCAAATTAGGCTCCCCCTGTTAGTATCTCTGGAATTCCTTGTTTTTAGGTTTAGGGGAAAAAGGAAGGTGAGGTATAGGGAAGTATCTAAAGAAAGGTACCAAGGTCCAGTGAAAGTTTTTCAGGGGTTGGGGGAGAAATCCCCTGCTCTCAAGCAACTCAGTCTACTGGCAGAAAGGACAAAGAGGAAGGGCCAGTGGAGCAGTGGAAAGAGTGAGACTGAAGGTGCTGAGAAAGTAAAGCTCATTGGAAAATCAGGAGAAGGTACAAAGGGGAAATTGTGGAGAGGACATTTGATTTGAAGCAAGAGACCTGGGTCTTGACTCTGCTATTTGCTTATGTGGTCTTGGGCTAACCGTGTTGTTTGCTACACATTGCAATGGAGAGGTTATATGCTATTAATGAAAATTGCATTGGACCAGATTATCATAATCCAATCTTAGTGACAGTGGGGAATATGGACAAAGGAAAGTAGGGTACTTCTGGACTTCTTTGCAAATCTACAAATAAATTCTCGCAAAGTAATCCTGAAGATGTAGAGGTTCAGCTTAATTTTTTTCCTTTTGTGTTTCCAAGTTTTAGTTGCAACCACTAGAGGGGGATATGCTCACATTTTAAAATCTTTGCCTGCTCTGTTAAGTAAATGTAAGCATGCCTTGTCACTAAAATTTTTTAAGGAGAGGGTGTAGTAGGTGACCTAACCTTAACCTTTGTAGTCTGAAAAGAGTTATAAGAAAGCTTCTTGTCCAATCCAAATACTGGCTTGATTATGACTCTCTGTATGTGTGCATAATCCCAGTTAATTTACAGAAAATTACATGATTATTGGCATCTGGAGTGTTTTTTTCCTCTAGCAAAATATATGTGTGGGGAGCAAGGAGAGCAAAATAACTTAAGTTCATTTATTTTTTTCACTTGGGAATAATTATAATATGTGTAATTTTTATCTGTATCGTCTGTTTTTACCATTACCTTCATTTTCCTGGAAAGAAAGACATAGGTTCAAGTTTCGTGTCAGACAGATTTTGGCCGTGTGATGCTTTGCAAGTCACTAATTCTCAGTGGTCTCTGCAGTTTTATAAGACTGTAAGTTGCAGAAAAGTGGCCAACCTGTGCTGGTAGAGGGAATTTTCTCACTTGGCACTTTCCTATACCCGTGAAATCACAGGTCTTGTCCTTATTTCTCTCCTTTTCCTACCCAGAGAGCCATCCCTTGTAACAAAGAATTTTTTTTATTGATTTATTTTAATTTATCAACAATCACTTCCATAAGCTTTTGAGTTTTACATTTTTCTCCCTCTCCCTCCCCAAGATTGCACACTCTGATACAGGCTATACATATACATTCCTATTAAATATATTTTCACATTACTGATGTTGTAAGGAAGAATTAGAGTCAGTAGGAGGAACCATAAGAAAGAGAAAGCAAAACAAAACAGAAGGAAAAAATAGCAAATAGTATGCTTCTATCTGTATTCAAACTCCATAGTTCTTTCTTTGGATGTGGATAGCATTTTCCATTATGAGATCTTTGGAGATGTCTTAGATCTTTGCATTGCTGAAAAGGCTATGTCTACAACGTTAGTCATTGTACAATGTGGCTGTAACAAAGAATTTTTAAAAAGAGCAGTTCAAGAAAAATCTTACATAGTGGCTGTAAAAGAAGAATCAGTCAGCCCATTTTTTCTATATCTAGCAGTATATGCAGTAGACCACACTCATACCTACCCCCATCTCAACAAAATAACAGAGGGGGAGATATTTCAATCTCACCTTAATTGCCCCAATCTTACCTCACCATCCAGCTCCTTCTCAGCAGATATCCTTACTGATGAGGAAATGGGAACCTCAGTCAGTCAGTCATCAAACACTTATTAAGCACTTACTATATGCCGGGCACTGTTCTAAGCACTGGGAATACAAAGAAAGGCAAAAGACAGCCTGCTTTCAAAGAGCTCATAGTCTAATTGGGGAAGACAGCATGCATGGAAACAACTATATATTAATGAGCTACTAACAGGAATTAATCATTTCCACATTTTCCGAAGTTGGGCATTATAGTTATTTAGTATTTAGTTTAACCTTATTATTTTTATTTTTATTGTTGTGGATGTTGAACATTTTGTTGGCCTTTTTTTTCTGATCTAATTAATGATAGGTCATTTTAAAACTGAAATTCTGCTTTTAGAATTCTGAAATAGTCTTTTTCTTTTTTTAAACAACAGCTAAGCTAATTGTCAGTTGGGGATTACCTAATGTTGGTCAGAAACAACACCCAGTACAATTGTTTGGAGGACTAGTTGTGGTTGGAATCCATGGGTGCGTTACTGTCAAGTTGTTTGCATGTTGTAAATTACTTCTGTGGTTCCAGAACTGCATTCCTTATTTTCATGTGGCATTTTTTTTTCTTCCCTTGCATGAAGCTGTGCTTCTTGTTTTTCCTTTTTGTTTGGTTTCCCATGGAAGTGGATCTGAATCTGCAGTCTTATTAATTTGACATGCTTTTGGCTATATGGGGAGTTAAGCAGCAGGTGAACCGAATGACCCCTGAAATCTATTCCAACACATAGACTCAAAGGCCATTTAGTCTAACCTATACCTGACCAGTCATCCCTTCTACAATATTCAACATTGCCTTAAATTTTTCCTGCTTTCAGACTCCCCACCAGAGCACTTCAGCATCTTCCAGATGTTGCAGTATGCCTTAGGTTGGCATTTAATAAAATAACAAATCGAATTTGTCTTTTTCCAGAATGAAGGAAAGCTGCTACATCCTGTGGCAGCCTATTCTATTTTTGTCAGGCAGCAGTCAGTAAGCATATATTAAGCTGTTATTCTATGCCAGGCAGTGTGCTAAGCTCTGGGGATATGAAGAAAGGCTGAAGCAGTTCCCGCCATCAGAGAGCTCACAGTCTAAACAACACACAAACAACATATAAGCTCTATACAGGGTAAATTGGAAGTATTTTCAAAGGGTAACTATTACTTAGCAAGGTTTTCCTTATATTAATCCTGTATTTACCACTCTGTATTTTCCATTCCTTTGGCGCCAGCAGAACAGTCATTTGAAGACCACTTCCTAAGTCTTCTCTTCTTCATTTAGACATCCCTAAGCCATGTGACTGATTTTCTTATTTCGCATTCTGCAGTTATTGCTTGTCCAAGATCCTGTTTGGAGCAATACCTTTCCATATTAGTATTCAGTCAGTACTATATCTATAGGGTAGTTTTTTCAAGCTTCATTATTGGGATAGCTGCAGAAGAGGAGAGTTCCCTCCTCTTCTGGGAAATACTGTGAAGGAGAAGAATTATCTCTTTAACTTTCCTTCGGTTCCTCTGGCCCAGCCTGCCCTCCAATTATTTCTCCCTCTGGCAACTTAATTCTTACCTTCTCAGAGCTGCACCTCGATTCTGAGTGACTTGCCTTCTCTCCTCCTTCCCCCACCCTCCAAATGGAGCTGAATCATAAGTGCCTTTAGCAGTTTTTCTAGCTAAAGATTAGAAAAGAAACATGTATAGTATCAAGGTTAGTGGAAACACAGTAGAGTATGAGAATGAGTGGAAAGACCTTTCTGAAATGTACTTCATCTTTTTCTGCTGAAAATTCCTTAATGGCACCTAGCTCAACTCTGCTTTTCTTTTCTTCAACCTTTCTTCCATCTTTATCCCAAATTAGAGGTTTTTTCCTAGCTTTGCTGCTCCTTCACTGAGAAAGTACCCTCAGGAAATGGGAAAAGAAAGACATAAAACCAGAGCAGAGGAGGAAACAATAGGGGGCGTATAAAAAGGCCAAAGTGGTGTTGGCTAGAACCTGCCCATCCATTTGACTCAAATTTAGTGGATAGGCCCTCAAGAAATTTTAGAAAATATCTTTCTTCCAGTTGACTAATAATTCACTTTTTATTAGGATTGAGACCTGAATTTGTTTGGCTTGTGTATTGTCATAAAGTATACTCAAAATAAATTTCCACATTTAAAAATATTTGTAAAATTTCTTAGTTTGTTTAGAAGCCATATATATAGTATATATAATCTTAAGGATTTGTGAGCAACAGACATTTTTGAAGTAATATTTCTTCCTTTCTCTTCAGTAAAGAAGTATCTCTAAAGTTTTTTTAAAATTATTTTTATTTATATCATTTGCTTTTATATTACTACATTTCATAACATATTCTTCTCCATCCCATAGAGGAAAAAAACCGGTAAGACAGATAAGCAAAACTAACCGCTTTATCTGATGTTTGATATTATATGCAGTGTCCACACCCATAGTGTCTGTTCACTTCATATTTATCTTGTGGGGCCAGGCGTAGGTGGTATTTATAATTTCACAACACTTAGTTTTGGTTATTTAGCTGTTGCTGCTCTTTCTATTTATGTTGCTGTTTTCTTTATCTCTAGTAAATAATGTTTGTTAGAAGAAATTGTTGTTTTGTAAAACTGAGCATGGGGCAGCTAGGTGGTACAGTGTTTAGAGCAGTGGCCCTGGAGTCAGGAGGACCTGAGTTCAAATCTGGCCTCAGACAAATAATACTTAACTAGTTGTGTGACTCTGGGCAAGTTACTTAACCCCAATTCCTCACCAGAAAAAAAACAAAACAAAACTGAACTTACATTTGCTAAATTTATGTGTGTTATAAGGGAAAAAATATGGTAGAGAATTATTTTGTACAAGTCTTTTTAACATAGACAATTGTTCTATTTTGCCAGTGAGCTTGAGTTATATTCCTTGTATGTCTTGTTTGGGACATGTCTATTGTTTTGAAGCATATTATTCGATCGTGGGCTTTTTTTGTGTTCTTTATGGTTTTGCCACATTCTAAGCTCTTGACTTACAAGTTGTATTTTGAAGGTTTCTTTTTAATTCAGTCATTTGGGACTCAGAACACAACTTTTCATAGAAAAGTTGGAAAGACCTTTATGAAATATAAAAATGGAAGGAAAGCCAGAACCAGAAGAATGGTTGGTGTACATTGCTGAATGTGATCATATGAGGGAAAGTGAATGAGAATGAATGGACGGAGAATCCCAATGGGCACATTAGAGGGAGAAACTGAAGTGTTATATATTATGTATAGAAATTAATGTAAGTTGTAGTCTATATTGATGTCTGATGCTGTTTATTTTAAAAAATTAAATTCAATTGGCAGCTTTTGTCTTTACATTAGAGACATTTTAACCCCCATTCCCAGAGTTAACTCTCCTTTGTTAAAAAGAAAGGCAATTAAGTAAGAAGCTTCTAATGGAGCAACCATATGTACCAATTATGTGCCATCCTGGTTGTCTTCCACTTTTCCTTGGTGTGGTTCATTATCTCTGGAACCTTGAGTAGTTTTTCAGTGCTCAGAGTTTGACTGCCGTTAGATAGTCTTTTCATTTAATTAGTAGTAATTGGAGACAACTCTTCTCTTGCTTCTACTTATTTTATTCTGCATCTTCTGGTGCAAATTTTCTCTCGTTTCCTCTGAATTTCTTGTATCTGTCTGTGCTTACTTTACCATAAAATTCCTATATATCAGACAGTATTTTAATGACTGTCTTCCAGATTTGACTTTTACAGATTTTTTGTTTGGGAGGGGTGCTGTTAGGCAATGGGGTTAAGTCACTTGCCCAGGGCCACACAGCTAGCAAGTGTTATGTATCTGAGGCCGGATTTGAACTCAGGCCCTCCTAAATCCGGGGCCAGTGCTCTATCCACTGTGCCACCGTTGCCTCACTACCAAGGATTTTTAAAGTAATATTTTTACAACTATAGGCATACCTAGGAATATAACCTTGGACCCTTGTTTTGTGGGATTGTGAAGCAGTGCCATAGATTAGTGACCTATAAGTGGAAGAATTATTGGTATGTATCTTAAAATTAGGTATTTTTGTACCTCATTTTTTCAGCTGCTTCTGGGATTGTTTTGAGATTGTTACAACTTTCCCTTTAAAGTGCCCCAAGACAGCATGGGGGCTGGGAGATTTGCTGGCCAGAAGAAAATCTCTATTCTTTTAACTTCAATTGCACTCTTGGTTTAAGCTTAAGTCACTGTTTTGGTATGTGATTAAATGGCAATAATGCATTATTTCTGGTAGGCAAATCTTCCTTTTGAGCTTTGGATCAGGAAAAACCATTCTTTTAGTGTCCCACACCTTGGGAACAGGAAATTAAATGATGTTTTACTTTGCAGCAGCTATTTTAAATGCTGATTTCAGTTTCTCCATAACCCAAAGGAAAGATCAGATAGTCCTGTTTCCTGACTCACTTATGAATTCAAGCATTAGTAGATCTCCAAAACATGAATATGAGTGGACTTGCTTTTGATTATCACTGGGGGGAAGGGACTAAGAGACATATGATATTTTGTGATTCAAGAAGTCAGTTATTTCAAGGAGCATCAGAGATGTTTCTTTAAACAAGCTTTCTAGATCCAGCTAAGGATATGGTTTTTAACTTCCTCTTTATTAGCTGCGGCATTGGGACTTGGGAATAACAAACTGAAATCCACATAAATATTATGAGACTCATCTTACAGCTGCTGGCATCAAACTTCTCTCTTCCATTAGGCCAGAAACTATGCTTTTAAAAAAAATCAATTCTAACTTATGAATTGCTAATGAGAAGGCTAACAGGGAGGCAAACCATAAGAGGAAGTGAAGAAACTGAGGGTCTGTGTAATCCATACTTTGACACCTCGGTAGCTGAATAATTGCAATTTGATTGTGGTTTCCTTTTCATTTTATTTCTATAGGACAACCAAAAGACCTCAAACCTTCTATGATGGAAGCCATGCCTGCTCTGGAGGAGTGTGTCACATTCCAATGGCTGAGCCATTTTGCTCTAAAACCAGAGAGGTTAGTAGAGTACCTGAAAACCCAATCCAAGTTTGTGATGTACAGACTTCAGTCATGTGGTAGGGGGAAAAGACATTTGTCACCTCACTGATTTTCGAAGTTGATTTGGTGACTCCTGTTGATTAGGCTTTTGTTCCCTTTTCACCTTCACTGTTCCACATGCATCTTCCCAAACGTACATCAAAAGAAGTACATCTTTTGTTCGTAGACATAAAAGTAGCTCTATTTCCCTTGAAGGTTTCAGATCCCTGATTGGCAAACACCTCAGAATGTATCCAAAATTGCTTCTTTACAGTAATCTCTCTAAGCCTCCTGTCCATTTTGCGAGGGTTAGTTTCATTAAAACTAGATAATATTGTGATCTGTGAATCCATTTTCCTGGACACCTTATAAACTATAATACCTTGCAATATGTTGAAAGCAAATGTGCACATGAAGGTGTTACTCTTAACCCCTCCACATTCTGGCACTCTTCTTCCCTCATGATACTTATTGTATTGTACATAACATTAATGAGGGTGTCAGTATCAATTGGCGTCTTGGTGGAGTAGCAGATAAAAGGAAAACCTGAGTTCAAATCCAGCTTCAGCCACTTTCTAGCTTATGTAACCGTGGGCAAGTCATTTCACCTCTGTTTACTTCAGTTTCCTCTACTATAAAATGGGGGTAATAATAGCATCTACCTCCAGATGTTGCAAGTATTAAGTGGAATAATACTGTAAAGCACTTAGCAGGCACTATATAAATGCTAGTTCTCATTATTTTTGTTGTTGATTTCAACATCAGTAACATCATCATTATTATTATTGATTCATATATAAATAGGAGTTCTAACATTTTTTTCCCTGCAGTCCAAGAGATCATCCTAAAAGTTCTGGTTTTGAGACCACTGTTTAAATTATATAAAAATATGTATATGCATTGCAAGATCTTGCATCCACAGTTCTGTCCATACATTCAGGAATTCGTGTCTGCCTGCCTTGTTTACCTAGCAGTACTCCGTCAAGGAAATATTGAACATATTGAGTTTCCTTTTCAGAATTGGAATATAAAGAGTGGAATTAGGAGAAGGGCGTGTGGGAGTTCAAAACATACAAGGCATTACTGAATTAGTGTAGCTGATACAGGCAAGGAGCTAAGCCTCTAAATCACTTTAGGGAACATGGTGGGGACTAGTGTATATATACATATGTGCATATAAAGTTTTTGCCACCAAAGGCCTTGGCACTGTCAGTAGTTCAACATGAAGAACGTGTTCTGTTCCCCAAGGAAGCCTTGTCTGGGGATCATGTTGTTCAGTTTTCTACTACAGCTCAAACCAGTTGATTGGATAGGTGGCTGCTGAGGGAACTTGGTCACAGACCTGGTTCCAACTCATGCCTGAGGTGGCCCTAGCCTGATTACTGGTGCTCACCACAGAAAGGAAACAGTTGAGACTTGAGGCAGCCAGATCCTCCTCCAGCAGGCTACTGTAGTAATCAAAGGGTCAGGTGATAAGGGCCCGCACTAGAATGGTGGCAGTGTCAGAGAAGAGGGCATATAGGAAAGATGTTACAGAAGTGAAATAAAAAGGCCATGGCAACAGCTTCATTTGTTGATGCTAAGGGATATATCAGGCAGAGGCTTGACACAGCAGCGTGTTTTTATTGCAGGGAGGAGTGAGGTGAGCAGGGAGTAGGGAGCAGTCCAGCAGCATTG